CCAGTTATGCTCTTCCACACTTAAATAATTAAGAAAATTGTGTTAAACTTCACCTGAAACAACGTTGTAGTTTTAGAACTGTAAAAAAAAAAAAAAGAAGAAAGTAAAAAAATTTCATACTTTGTCATCATTTTTAAGCTTCAAAGTTCCTACTATTTGAAATAGATTTTCTCCTATCCGTTTTAGGGAATCTATAAAAATTTTCCAGATCTCATTTCACCTTAAAAAACCTCTTCCTCTTTTAGTACCTGTGCTTGAATCAGCTTAACGTTAAAGAAGTTGGGCATACACACCAAGAAGAGAGCAGATAACACTGCTTGGAGGATTTCCTCTCAATGCTTTCATCCCAAACAAGAACGTGCAATGCTGGGTGACACTTTGCTCTAGACTACTTGGGCTATTGTACAGTGGCTTCCTTTTCTTAGAAGCAGCAAAGAGGAGCTCAGGTCAAATCCATGGAGCATCAGGAATTTACCATACTGAAAATCCCAAAGATCTCTGGGGCCAGAAAATCAACAGCATTAACAGTACCATGTCTTTACCCCAAAATCACCTTCTTTCACACTTCAGCTTTCCGAATAGATTGTACTCGTAGAAGGCTATTCAAGTGTCATGTTTGAAGAAATGCAGATAAACGATACAGGAAAAAGCCAAATGTGGTCACAGGAAAGAAAAGAATGTATGTAGGAACCCACCCTTATGAATATAATTAATCATTAATTTGACTAAACACTTGTTTGATTTCTTAGTGAGACCCTTTGCATAATTCTCTTGCACAGGTGATAAAATCAGTTCATGAAACACCGTTCCTGGGGCTGGGAAAATGTTTCAGGGCAAATATATTCAAAATGTGCTCTCGGAGCTAAAAGAAATGCAGTGTGTGCCTGTGTGTATGCGTGCGCTGCAAACTAAATATGTGATTTTGAGATATTGCAAGGGAAAATATATTATTTCTGTATGTCTTCCCCAACTGCATATACTACAAAATGACTGCATAGATGTCATGTCAAAGTCATAATAATTTCTTAACCATGTGGAGGGAGATGTGAAAAAAAATGAATATTGAAAGATGTCGTAAACGTCAGTGCTGAAAACATTGATTTATAGTAAATTCCCAGCAAAGCAAGTCTGAAATAAACAGAGATTAATTTTAGAATTTAATTAGTTAAAATATCTAATTCATTCAGATCATGGCAAAGATAATTTCTAAAATAAGAGATCTAGAATATATAACCCTGTAAATCTTTGATTCCATGAAATGTGTTAAGATTATTCAGTTTCTTGCTCAAAACGAAACAATGGCACGATAACATAGGAGGAAAACAAGTTTCTATAACACTGTGAATGACACTGCCACTGCAACATCTAAATGTTTTTTGCTGTAAATACTGACATTGACTTATTCTTGCTGGTTAGAAAAATACTGTAAGAAGAAAAAATTGAAAAAACTCAATAGATAACTAAAGAGCTTTGTGTGCTAAATTCAATACATGTTTAATTTGTGAACAAAAACCTCTTAACGTGTATTTGGTTAAGGATATGTGATCTGGTCACAAATGATGAACGACCTGAGCTGTAAGAACCAGCTGTGAGCTTTAAAGCTAAAACTTAGAGAATATTAAGGTCTTAAATTTAACGTTGTTTATGATTTTATAATAGTACTAGAATCTACTTTAATGACAGCACACGCTTTTCATTATTTTGTGAATTCTCAACCCCCTCCTCCAAGAAAATCAGATTTCAGAAGTTCTCACACAGTCAAAACCCTCCAATGTGAAATTAATAATCAGACTCAGTTCAGAAACACATCTAAATTCTGTTCAAATAAAATAGCTCTCTCCCTTAAATGTTCTCACCTATCAAATCACTATATTCATCCCTATGTATTATTTCTCCCATAAAAAATTACCAGTGTGCTTTCAGAAAGGTTTTTACTCTTACAAAATTATTGAGATGTCTATCTGAAAATCAATGGTAGGTTTGGTGACATAATTATTCTCATTCTCAAAAGCCATGCATTCATAAATGTGGAACTATGTCTTTTCCTGGTGGTAAAGTTCAGGATTTGCTAATTGGTACAATCAGAGAGAAATGGTTTCAAGGCTGCTGCAGCCGTACGCTTACCTAAATTGAAGCACAAGCTAGGTCCATGGCGAGAAGCACTCATTTACACATAAAAACTGAGAAATTAAAGTGCCCAGTAATCAACTTGCGTAGACAGTTGTTCGTAGATGTGCCTCTGCTCCATGCACTAAAAAGCAGAGCCATGGAGGGTCTTACCTCTTCACCCTCCAAAGGACAAGTCACAAAACAAATCACAGAGAAGGGACTCAGAAAACACAGGAGCCACATCTTCAGCCCACAGAAGCTTATTCTATGGTTGTGCAGTTCTAAGAATTGTATCAGTAAAGCGGTGCAGCACCTATATAGACATTTCAGTTGAGAGTAAAGAAATATAGAGCCTATAATACAAGAAGACTTTAAAAGCCAGTGTTAGTTTTCTGACTTCAAAGTTCATGAAAGAGATGACAAATAGCAAGCACTTTTTAACATGCACCTTCTATAGCTTTTAAAAATATTAGTGTACCATGCATTTATCCAGTTACTGCTTACAGCAAGACACCTGTCATTTTTTTCATATTTCTGCTTACAGTGAGGACCCTATGTACCCCCCTTCACTGTAGCTGTATTATTAAAGATTTTGTAAGGATACCATAGCTATATTTACATATGTACAACTTGAGGTGCAAGGAAAAAAGCAAGTAATCAAGAGCTTCAATTTGGTGTCTTAAGAATTGTCCTCTATTCCTATTATTCTGCGATTGTGTTCAGAGCTTAGAATTTAAAATGAAAAAGAAAAAAAAAAAACCTCATACTAACAATCACCGTTTTTCCTGTAATCAACTCCATACTTCTTTTCATATTCTTTCTACGGGATTGCTTTTCTGTGTTTATTGTTGTTGCTAAACAAGGTGAGAGTTGAGGCGACATTTTTCAATGATGATTTCCTTTGCAATAACAAAATCTTAAATGCAGTCTCTCTTTTCCTCCTGCTATGTGCTATCAAATTCATCTTTGTATGGGAGGCACAAACTAAAACGAGTAAATTGCCCTTAGTAGGTAGTACTCTTTTCCAGACACTAGGAAGTAAATTGTCAAAGAGTTACACGGGGTTTTAGCTGCATGATTCCCATTGACTTTAATGGGAGTTGCAAAGAAAACACCCCACGCAAAGCTTAGAAAAGCAGGGGTTAGTTTTCTTTATGATCTCTGCTGTATTTCGTGCCCTCCAGCCTCCAACATTCTCTCCTCACATGCCTCTCTGTTCTCCCCTGTCTTTGTACCTTACCCTTAAAAGGATATTAATCTTGGGCCTTTTCATTTAGCCATCCACATACACAGCTAGTCAACACACTCCACCCCCAACACCATTTCCAAGTCTCACAATTAAACATCTCTTTCCCCAACCCCCACAACCCCAAACCATCCATTATCACTTAGTCTGTGTGGATAGCTTGAGAAAATTTTTTTATATATTTTAAGGAATGTTGTTATGATATAAGATGGATATTTCCGAAATTTGTACTGTATTTCAAACAACATCAGAATTACCTAAATTATATTTTTTCCAACTTCTTTAAAGTGCCTGTTAGTGTTATCACTTTCACTGTTATTCACCTTTTCACAGTTTTAGTATTTCCTGAAAGTTCCCGTAAAGCACAAATATATATTTGGGAAATCCACCAGGCATTGCAAAGCAGTTATCATAGCCACTTAAGCAGCAGTTAAGTGATTTATAGGACAACTAGTGAACAACATAATAGACACCATGATGTTAGATCCTGGCAGAATGGGCACAAGTTTCCATCACGTCTGGGGAATGAAGGACACCCTTGTCTGTGTCATGGAGACAGCAACACCACAATTGCCTGATGTCACTCTTGTATAATACACTGCAACACATACACGTACACACACACAACCCCCATGGGATTGTTCTAATTCCCTAGCAAGTTTCGATTGTGGAGAGAGCCAAACTAGGCTAGCTTTGAGCTAGATTTTTATGAGTGTTTGGTTCTGTATAGAATGCACAAAAGGCCCAATCTTCGTGCCTACCACTTTTTTCATTACTGTGGCATTAATTACAAAGTAAGATGCCAAGTAATTGGCAAGGGGAACACTACTTGCTTATTTATCAGATACCTTTATCCTATGCCCCTGGCTTCTCTCCTTTACTGCACTTTTATAATAGATTACCAGGGTAGCAATGTAAAGAGTAAAGGGTCTTTCCTTTGCACATTTACAACCCAACTTACCTTGGATCCTTTGTCTTATTTCAAATCATACCAGCAAGAAAGGATTTGCACTCAGCGACATATTAATCAACACGCCATATACAAACACATAAAGTCTAAAAGCAAAGACTATGTTCTGCTGACAGCAGATGGTTTACTACCAAAAAATCTTCCCAGTGCCTTCTTGCACCTATGGACTCATTATTTCTATGAAACACTGTGGGAGTGTGCCGGAAAATACCAGACCAACCGAGCAAACATCCTGAAATCTTCTCACGACACAGGGTACCTCAAAAACACCCCAGAACACATTATTTCCCCTTTGTTGTCTGACTTGCCCCCAGTTATTATCAGTTACTACTGTTCTCTCTCTATGTTGATCATGACAAAAGATAATGTTTTTTGTAAAATAACACAATTTGGACATAATAACGAGAACCTTGGTTCCCATCTTCCCTGTTGCCGCACAGCACGTCTCGTGCCGTACAGGCGCAGTTGGCTGTCCAAGGACCCTGATGCCAAATTGCGGAGGATATTCTTGTCGCAGTGACAAATTGCTTGCTGGTGGGCTGCGCAGAGTGTTGTTCTGGCAGCATCAGCGTTGTCTACGTGTCTGTCACTTGGTTAGGCTGCTTCAATGCTAGGTGATTTCACCCCCTCCCGCCACCCCCTTTCCTTTTCCTTCAATGCAGTTTTCAGACTTACCTTCGCTTCCCAGTGAATGGGGGCTTTAACATTCACTTGACAATAAGCCTATGGAAATGCCTCCCGAGCTCTCCGAACAGGTATCTGTAGGGTGAGAGAAGGATTTTTTTTTTTTTTTTAACAGTGCCATACTTGTTTTCCATACAAACCTCCAGGCTGCCATTACAGCCACCCACATCCCGGTTGGCAACGCACTTCGGCAGTGAGCGCCTTAATGAATCCAGACAAAACTGCACAGCATTCCTGACACACAGGAAAATCATGCATTTTAATGGTATTGCAGGGTAATTTATTTCTTTCGTCTGTAAAATGTTGATGGTCAATGTTCCTTTATAACATTTCAGCAAAGAGACTATTTTGTTTTTGATCTGATTCTTATTTTTAAAACCAAAAGAATTTCTTTTATAAGTTTCTTATATTAAGTCTATTTCATCAGTGAGGATCTGCTTTAAAAAAAAAGCAGAAATGTAAATGAGTAGACAATATTCAATAAACAAATTAACTTGTAAACATACTTCAGGCAATCCCAACAGTGTCTGTTGACTACCTATGAAGGTATATAATTTAATGGGTAATTTGTGGGTAAAGTTTAACCAGCTGACATTTTGAGATAAATAATAAATAATACTCCTATTTCATTACTGAGTTTATAATTAACTATAAACGTATAGGCATTTTAAAAACTGTAACTACAGAGATACAGTACTTCACGATTATCGGTGAAAATGAAAAGGATAATGTAATGAATACAAAAGATGTAGGAGGCCTTTCTTATTCTGTGGAATGACAGTAGACTTTTTTCCATGAAACATATTCTGCAGCACTGGTGTATTATTTAAGACTCGAGGATGTATAAAAGAAGCTAATGGGTTTTTTACAAAGGATAATATACAATGGAATAATTCTAAAAGGAAATGAACAGGCTTTTAATCTTGTGGGGAAAAAATGTTTGTTTTTGCTCCTCTCTATATGAATGTATTTGTTAGTTTTATTGCTGAAACTATAGCCTTGAATTAAGTAGACTATAACATTCTTCTAAATATGTTAATATAAAGACATAAGATAAGATTTGTTTTCAAAGAAATAGGTGGATAGGTGGATGGGTAGATATTCACTTACATTCATTGGAAGTAGTAATAATAAAGTTGTAAGTAGTATAACTTGGAAAAAGATGAAAAGATACTTTAACAGTTTCAACTTTCAAGACACAGGTAAAAATTGCAGCCTCAAGTGATGTTTAAATTAGTTTGTTTTCATCGAGACTGCTAGCAGAACTTAAGTCAGCCCTCTGGACTACATAGGTATTTCCAAACTAAACTTATCAAGTTATCTTTCCCAGACACTTTTGTGTTTTGTTTTATTCTCCAAAACCTGGCAGCGCAAATGTTCTAGCTTTCATCACTTAGGAGCATCCAGTGTGAGGCTATTGATCCTAAAATTGCAAGGGTTTTCTAAGACGGCTGCTTGTTGGTTCTGCACTGCTGTCACTGAAGTGGTTAAAGCTCTGTTTGTTTGTTTTGTTCTGAATGGCTCTTGATGGATTAAGCTTTAGGCTTTCACCAAAGCAGCAACTGATTGTAAAAGTAGCAAGAAATGAACTAACCACAGGGTGTGTGTGCACGTGTGTGTGCTGCCAGAGCGGATCATGGTCTCTAAATTCTAAAACTAAGCTAGTATAAATATGTTAAATAAAATACTCCTCACTATATATCTTTAATAAGTCTATCCACTGTAAACTGCCACAAATTCGTTCCCTGATACCTACAATGGATTAACTCTATTTAATCAAGAATAATTGAATTAAACTAGATAATGACCCACAGCTACTGAGATGGATAATATTAATTACAGTTGCAGGATCCCGTTTTACTATGAAATTAACATGCCATTGTGCTTTGATCCTAGAACTGCTTTTCATAATTTTACCAATACTATTCAAAATGGTGATTCCAAGTTATATAAACCTTTAAAACCATCTCTGGGACTTTAAGTAATATATGCACTTGTCTTCATAATATTATGCTGTGGTTCTGGACTCATATAATTAGGTTTCGGCTTGAGTGTGATATTAAGTAGAGGATTAATAACGTGACAAGTAAAGAAACATCTATATTTGAAGAAACAGATGGAAATGCATGAACTTCTATGACTGTTTTCTGCAGCGCCAGCTCTTTTTAAGAGGAGGACCTTAGGAAAGGTCTCATTACCAATATAAGGTGACTCCTGGAGCTGAATATTCAACGAGAAAAATGAAATACCATCGTACAACTCTCTTAATGGGTGCGATGGACAAAACACTAGAGCTGTGTTCAAGTTACCCTCCAGTCCTCCGGAATGGCACCCTGGGCTTCTCTTGAGTACCCTCTAGCCGCTAGCAACAGAAGGCTGACTCTCTCTCTGGCGGAGCCCTTGGATCTGCTCTGGGATTTGCTGGAGAATAGATACCTTTTTTTCCCAATGGGCAAATTATGACAAAGTGTAGAAGAAATGGACTAAAATAAAATGGCCTCAACTTCAACTTCAAATAACCCAAGATTCATTAGTCAAAGCCTACAGAGATGACAGCCCTTTGGCAAATTTTCAACATGGCTGTTCCAGAGAGTTGCCATACAGCATCTGGGCCTCTCTGAATGTCATGCTTGGAATACTGCATTTGGGAAGTATACTGTATTAGAAAGAATTAGGATACTTTAAACGTGGAATTAAAAGCCCTTAATCATACCGCTGGATTCTCTTGGACATGGATATTGTATTTCATGCTTACCCACGGAAGTTGAACAGTTTGTTTTACTTCTTAAAACATAAGCTCAATCCACTAAATCTCATATATAAAAAACAGAAAAAGTTATTCAACTTCTCAGACAGTGCACACAAAATCTGAAACCTTCAAGGAAGTTTCTAATTTCTGCCTCACACTTGTAATACACGCAATCAATTAAACTGGAAGAGGGCTCTATTAAAGGGAATGCATAAGCTTCAAAATGAGAGTGCATTTATCGCAGAGAGAGAATGGCTGATTCTGCTATAAGGCCCACGAGGTCTCTGTAATTTTCAAAATTCCATCGAAGTGCTGATATTCTGATGACAGAACTAACTGCCACTGTCAACCCCACAGCCTAGCATTAGGAGAAGGGATTTCAATGAGTGCAATAAAAGAGAGGGCGATTTTTCCCTTTGCAAGTAATATTCTAAAATCAAGGGGGGCGGAAGTATTATAAAACCTAGATGAATACTCTAAGTCAACAGCTAATCTGCTAATTGTGTGACACCCAAAAAGTCAAATGTACTTAATATTTATATAAGAAAAGATGCTGCATTTATAAAAAGCAAGGCCGCTGTGTCATAATCCTTTCCTGAGGCACTGTACCAAAATAACAAGGGCAGGGGGTTAGAAAGGAAAGGAGATTTTTCCCCTTCTTTCTTTCCTTTTTAAAATTTAGGATACCTCTAATTGACCTCATGCACATTTTTCACAACACCTTGTCAAAAGCGAAACAAACAAGCTGTGGACACAGAGGCTACCAAGCCCTTTTGGTTGTACCTATTTTTCTTACCGTATTTCCCAGTATTCCCTCATTTCACTTTCTCCATTACTTTTCATCTTCCTTACTCACGCCACCCTGGTCCACACTGTCTGCACTAACCCTCCCCAAGTCTCCTAGTCTTCTCTTGTCACTCCTTCATCATAAAGGGAGGAGGAGGGGCACTGGGGAATGACATGGCCCACGACACACCCCTAATCTTCTTCCCTGTTTACCCCGCCACCTGCAAATGAGGAGGAAACTTTCCAGAGTTTGAATGAAAGGCTTTGGCCTCTCCTATAGACAGGGATGCACAATGCGGAAATAGTGTTTGTTAACCAGGCTGAACCATTAAAAAGATCACACACGACAGGGTAGCTTTAGAAACTCTGAGGAATTTAGGCCCTATCAAGTTAACTAAATGGGAAGCCAATCAATCAGATGAACTTTCCCCACCCCTAAAATCCAAAAGCCCAACATTATATAAGACCTTTAAAGAACTGGGTTATGAAGACTTTTTTTTAATTTCATGAGGATGAACGAATACTTGGCACATTGGCAATACTCCATCTGAGAGCAGAAACATGTTTGCATTTTGGAAATAAAGCACAAAACCATCCAGGACTGATTGTTGATGAACTGACTGCAGTAGTGTTTGGGTTTTAAATACTACATTAGAAAGATGACGCACAATTCTGAAGTATGAAAAATACAATTCACCGGGTTTTCATTGCATTCTTACTCAGAATAGAAAGACGAACACAACTGAAAGTAAAATATGGAAAAATTAGGTTAAACGCTGGAATTGCATTCCAAGTCTAACATACTGAGGGTATGTTACACGATATAGCTTCTATTGAAGAGCCTGGGTAAAAGTGAAAGGCTTATAAAATGTATGTGATTTGGGGATCACGGAAATGATGTGCACATATAGATAGCTTGGAAAAAAACACCCTTTGCAATAAGAACCTTCCTTTCACTAATGTGAACTGTGAAATACTTTGGGGGAGAGGGGGCAGGGAATTTCCAAGGAGATTTTTGTATGTTTACGGCAGACTTTGCTTATTCATTTCATCCTCAACATTCTGAATGAAAATGCTTCCCTCCTTCCCAGAGGTTCTAAGGACTAGCCCTTTTATATCTATGTATATTCAGAATACTGGAAGTGCCAGAATTATATTAGCAATTCCAAATATCTCAGTAGTAACACTACTTCTTTGTACTTGTCAAGGTGTGGGTTTGTACATACCACTTAATGAGTACAATCTGCCATTATGTTTAATTGAGAGCACATTTTTCCTGTATTAATTTTAATAGAGGGTACATTTTTACTATAATAATCCAAGAAACTGATAGGTAGACAAAAGAGAGCTCATGTAGATGGATATAGATGGGAATATAAATATACTGACTGAAATTTACTTGAAATCAAGGGGATCAATTTTGGAATGAAATTATCTTTTGCCCTTAAGTGAGTGTTCCTAGGCTGTATCTCCCTTTCGGTCCACTGCAGGTAATGATTACCTATTTTTTAAGTAATTACGAATCACAGATACTGTGGTT